TTCAACCTGATTAACCCAACCCATATATAGCTCTACATGTATCCATGTATGTGAGGCGGGTGGGTTGGTGGGTGGGTATTTGACTTTTAAACTTAGAATTTTAAAGAGTAAATTACGTTTTTCGTTCCTGTGGTTTGTTAAAAATTACGGATTTCATCCTTGTGATTTTAAAATTTCGGTTTACATTCTCATAATTTGTAATTCATTTACATTTTGGTCTCTAAGGACAAAACATTAATTATAAACATATAAAACTAAAATAGAAATGAATCGTAAACTATAAAGCTAAAAAATAATAAGTTTTAAATTATAAGAATTACAAAATCATAAAGAATAAAAATAGAAAATGCTAACAAAAACGATAATTTAGTCTCTTAAAAATGAGGTTTGGTAAGGATAGTTGTGGAAACAAGTCAAATCATTAGATTCGGAAATGAGTAGAGAGAGTCAAGAGTCGTAATTTTGGAAATTGAACATGACTTTCTCACTCATTTCCTACTTATTATTTTTGGACTATTTTTTTTTTTAATTTCTTTTGTCTTTAATTAACACACACACACACCCAAAAAAAAAAAAAAAGTCAAAATGCCATTTTCTCTCCACTACAAAATATCATATCGTCATCCTCCAAAAAATAAAAATTAGTCAAAGCCTCTATCTCTTTAACTTTTATATAGAAAATGCGTGATTTCAACACCAATTTGATGGCAAATAATCAATCCGCCCTATTATGCATATCTTTTTTCAAACTGCATTTTGCAAGTTCTATGTATTGTTATTTTGTCCATTTTTTATCCTACCACTAGTGGATCTACTAACTTGTCAAGTTTAAACTTGTTTGGAGAAAAAGTACAACTCGAAAAATCAAAGTTTCTTATTTTGCAAGTCATAATTTTTAGTTTATTTTGTAGTTTTTTGTTATTTCATCTCAGAGTTTATATAAATAGTTACACCTACGAGTATTGTATGTAGTTGTGTTTTTCACAAAACAAGAAGGAGGTGTTTTCTTCTTCTTCTTCTTCTTCTCAATTTTGTGTTTTTTTTCTCTCTTTTGTTTCATAACTCGTAAAAAAACATATACTTTGATGCAATGTAAGAAACTTGCAAAAATGTGGTTTTTGTGGGACACGTGTCAAGCTTTGAGGAGGCACCTATCTAAGAAAAGGGATATTTTAGCTTCTTCTTTTTTGGTTAATTAAGTAGGAGTAATAAAGAGCGATGGATCCTTTATTTTTCTACTTTTAATTAATACCTTATTTGTAAGCAAACATTTCATACTATTTGTTAAAACTGGATATGATGGTATGTTAATTTAATTTCATAACTTCAATAAAATGTCTTATTTTTATGTTACACGGTTTATTTTGTTGCATTTTTTTATTTAATCTTGTAAACAACCAAATCATTTCGTCTTTTAATGTGTGTTTATTGTTGTCAAGTGAAAGAGAAACTGTATTTTTGAATTAAAACTTTATTGAATCAAGGAAACCAATTTTAAAGGTATTTTTTTTATATTGTTGTTGAGAAACGATCCAATCTAACATGTTTTTTTAATAATATGATTTCGGAAGTTGATATGTTGTGTCCTTTTATTTAGAGTTTGCATATTTTTGACTTTCAAGGTGTAAACAAAGTGAACTATTAGATTCATTTTAATTGATTTTCTTTTCGCTAAATGTCATCATCGATCGATCTTCTAATAATAAAACTTCAAGATTTTTAAATGATGAGGGGATACATTTTGGCATTGAATTAAGGTATGTATATTATATAGGGCCGAGGAAGTTGATTATGATAACTAACTAAATAATACATATATATATATATATATATTTAGAATAAATATGTATAGTAGTGGTATTAAAAATATAGAATAGATGTAGGTTTGTATGCATGTGCATTGACATTAATTAAATAATTAATTGTGTTGGGGTATATGATATGAACACGCATACCATGACCAATAAACATTTGTTAGATTTCAATGAAAAAGAGACCGTGAGATTTGGTAGAATAAATGTTCCCCTCAAGCATCATAACGGATTCAGTCAACCCCATGCTACTCTTATATCGTACAAAAATTAATTTGAAAAAATTAATCATTTTATAAAAAACAATGAAGTTTCAATATCATATATGATTATATTTTTTTTAGTATGTTTAAACATATGTGATTAAGTTTTTCTATCATGTAATCGTATATGATAGTAAAACTTATTCATTTATATAGAAAAATATATATATATATATATGTCTTAAAAAATTAGTAACTAATCTTAATTTTTGATCTTGTTTGATCAAATCCATCTCTTTAATTGTTTTTTTTTCATTTAAAAAATCGTCATCTTTATCTCTTTTGTTGTTCCCCTAATAAACTACCTTTAATAAAAATCCAAATGTGTCATCATCGTATTCTTTGTTGAAATAGATGTAGTGTAATAGAGAAAGATTAATTTGGCATTCTCTCTCTTTGTAGTTATATATATTTGCATGGTGCTCGTGATTGAGGTGGAGCTTGCCGTATTGTTATTGTAGAAGATTAAAATGTAGGTTATAAACATTTTTAGTCAAAGTAGTTCGATGGTTTGTATGTTCAAAAACAAGAAGTCGAAAAGATGGAAAAGATTTCATAGTAACAACTTGGAAAAGAGCCAAATGTACATGCATTAATTATCAATCAATCCTACAAGTCAAGGCTTTGGTTATTGAATTCTATCATCAGACTTGTATATTATATTATATTATATAGTGGATGTGAAGTTTTTGTCAAACTCTTCTTCTTAAGTAAATGTATCGATGTATATATAAGCCGCCTTAAGAGGAAAAACCATGCAATTTTGAAAGGGGTGTGGAAATTTATATATATGAAAACATCAAGAATTGTTAATGATATATAATAACAAGGAGGATTGTCCGTAACAGTAATATGAAACATATATATATATATATAGGTACTTTAGTTAAGTATGTATATCATACATATGGAACAATAATATATATATATATTAAAGATGTATATAAATATTATAGCGTATAATGATTATAATATATATAGATCATGTATAAGTTGAATTAATTAATATACAAAAGCTGGGGAATACAATTAATAAAGAGTGGAAGCAGAAGCATTAATTAAATTAAATTAAATAACGCGCGTGTGGTAAGTTTGCCTAAATAACATTAATTCAATATATATATATATATATATATATATATATATATATATANTATATATATATATATATATATATATATATAAAAGTTGTAAAATTGTTGAACTAATTTAGATTTTGATAATGATAATAATTAATTAGCAGTCATGAAGAAAAGATATGTAGCCTCCATGTTTTTGCTGGCATGTAATTTCTCTTCATTTTCTTGGAGGTTTCCCAATATTTATGGTTGGTGTTGGCAGTTGGTCATACATATATATACTCCATACATAATACATAATACATAATGCATGCATGTAATCATGGAAAAGGCTTTGAAGATTCACTGAAATTAACTACACCTAATTCATGCTAAATACTAATAATTAATGATCCATGTATAACGCGCGCATTATATATATTTCCTTCAAATAATTAATGTTGTGATTCCAAATTCATCATTAATTAATTAGCAACTTTTAGCTATATATATGAAAGTATATTAGATAGTTTTTTTTTGAACGGCAAAAAGAAAGAATGTTAGGAAAAGAGCTTCAGCACGGCCATCTCCTCCTTCTAACACCCTTGACCCTTAATTAATAACTATATTAATGAATGAGTTAATAGCTAGCTTTAATTAATTCTTCAAGCACTATATATAGCGTTGGGTTCTTTTCATGAAACCATAATTTTTACACTTGAAACTTCACAGCAAAAACCTTGTAAGGTAAAAAAAACCCGTACCTTCACAGCAAAAATATTGTGAAGGTTACCTTCACAATTTTTTACTGTGAAGTTTTAAATGAAAAAATGTGTTCTCACGGGTCTTAAGAAAACAGGTTGATCTCACATGATCTCAAGTATATATATATATATATATATATATAATCGGGAGATGTTTCGGCTTATATTCCTACTAACGTAATCCCGATTACTGATGGATAAATATTATTATCTGCCTATCTATTCAATGTTGGTATCGGACCCGCTATTAATGTGGGTATCTCTGTTTCCCGAGTGAGGTCTACAACTCAAATTAAAGCTATGAAATAAGTAGCCGGTAAATTAAAATTGGAACCGGCACAATTTACAGAATTAGAAGTTTTTGCACAATTTGCTTCTAATCTCAATAAAGCTACTACTCATAAACAATTGGCAAGAGATCAACGCTTACATAATTGCTTAAAAAATCCAAATCCCTCCCTCTCGCGGTGGAAGTACATATACTGACTATTTATACCGGAATAAACGGTTATCTCGATTCATTAGAAATTATATATATATATAGGGTTTGGTTCACGTGAGACCAAGTGTTTTTCATGAGACCCATAAGACCAATTTATGTTCACTGATCAACTTTATAAGCTAATGATCTAATGGTCTAAAGTTGTACGGTGACAATTTTTATGATTATTGAGAAATCTTGTGGCGTTTATGAATGTTCAGATTGTAGATCTAATCCAAAGGTTGAAAATTGGTCTTACGGGTCTCACGAAAAACCTTTAATCTCACATGATTCCAAGTGTATATATATATATATATATATATATATATATATATATATCAATCAAATTAAGGATCGTGATGATGGTTGATTTACCATCCATGCATGCACCATGATTCCTTCCGGTACAAGTTTGAAAATTAATATTTTACAAGATAAATTAAAGTCAAAGCATACTATTGGTGGTGTGCGTCCTGACCAAATATGAACACGACTACTTTCAAGTCTGCTTCTTACTTAATTATACACATGCCATGCACTATAAATATACCATGCATCTCTTTGCATTTCAACATCACAATTCTTAATTGATCATCCATCTAGCTAGCAGCTATATAGTAATCATGGCCGTCATCTTCTCCAAGATCGGTATTATCGGAGGTGGCATAAGTGGATTAGCCGCAGCCAAACAGCTATCAAACCACAACCCCATCGTGTTTGAAGCCACTGACTCCATTGGTGGTGTTTGGAAGCACTGCTCCGTCAGGACAACCAAACTTCAGACACCTCGTCATGACTACCAATTCTCTGATTACCCTTGGCCACACACACAACAAGATGATCACACTTTCCCATCTTATATGGAGATACTCGATTATCTTCACTCTTATGCCAATCACTTTGATTTGTTCAAGTTCATAAGCTTCAATTCAAAGGTCACTGAAATCCGCTTCCTGGGTGACCAAGAAACCATGGCTTACGAAAGTTTGATGTCTGGAAAACCCATATGGGAAGTTGCTGTTCATAATACCAACTCTCACACCATTCAGGTATATATGTGTACATAGCTAGGATAATTAATTATTAATTAGTTGTTATTAAATAATTAATTTGATTGAATTGCATGCAGCGGTATGCATTTGAGTTTATAGTGGTGTGTAGTGGGAAATATGGAGATATACCAATAATACCAAAGTTTCCAATGAAGAAAGGCCCAGAAGTGTTTAAAGGGAAGGTGATGCATTCTCAAGACTACAGCAAACTTAACACCCAAGAATCCCTTCAACTTCTCAAAGGAAAGAAGGTGGTGGTGGTGGGTTACAAAAAATCTGCCATTGATCTTGCTGTTGAATGTGCTGAAGCTAATCAAGGTACACACACACACACACACACACATATATATATATATATATATATATATATATTTAACTTAATTAATCAACGTACTCCTTAATTAGATTTAATTAGTAATTAAGCTTAATTGTACATCATATCCATGCAAATTTTGATTGATTTTTGATATATATACGTACAGGTGAAGAAGGAAAAGCGTGCACAATGGTGGTGAGGACTTCGCATTGGACTGTTCCACATTATTCGGTCTGGGGTTTGCCATTCTACTTATTCTACTCCACCAGATTTTCTCAGTTCTTCCATCAAAGACCCAACCAAAGCCTCCTCAGGGACCTTCTCTGCCACCTTTTCTCCCCACTCGTACGTCCATTTTCCATTTTAATTGATTATATTGCTCCTATATACATATATATATATATGTATGTATATTTCATCCCTTATAATTAAACCACTTCATTAATTAATTATTTGTGTGTGTGTATATATATATATATATATATTTCACAGAGGAAGGCTGCATCCAAGATCATTGAGTCTTACCTGGTGTGGAAGCTTCCACTCGTCAAGTACGGACTCAAACCAGATCACCCTTTTGAGGAAGATTATGCATCTTGCCAAATGGCCATCTTGCCTGACAAATTCTTTCCTGAAGCCGAAAAGGGCAACATAAATTTCAAAAGGGCATCAAACTGGTGGTTTTGGGAGGGCGGTGTTGAATTCCAAGATAATACCAAGTTGGATGCCGATGTGGTGCTTCTTGCCACCGGTTATGATGGCAAAAAGAAGCTCAAACTTATGTTACCCGAACCCTTTCGAAGTTTCTTACAATTTCCCTCTGGCATGCTGCCTTTGTACAGGTTTGTAAATCATTAATTAATCTTTCATATATATGTTAATAATTATGACAACTTTAAATTTGCTAGAGAATAATATATATTGGCATTCATATATGCAGGGGAACAATCCATCCCTTAATTCCAAACATGGCTTTCATCGGTTATGTGGAAAGTGTCTCCAACCTTCAAACTTCAGAGATCCGGTGCAAGTGGTTATCGAGGCTGGTTGATGATAAGTTTAAGCTACCTTGCACAGAGAAGATGCTGGAACAGATAACCACAGAGATGGAGATAATGAAGAAGTCCACAAGATTTTACAAGAGGAGTTGCATATCTACATATAGCATCAATCACAACGATGAGATATGTAAGGAGATGGGATGGAGTTCTTGGAGGAAGAAGACCTGGTTTGCAGAAGCGTTTAGCCCTTACAACAGTCAAGACTATGAGGAAGACATTTGAAGAAAAAACAAAATCATGCATGTCGTTGATGCTACACCTGTGCGCTCCTAATAATTTCTTAGATTTATCTGTTTATTTATTACGTACTAAAATAAACAGTGCTCATATGGGGGCTGTGTACATACACGAGTGAAAGAGAATACAATATATATGTATACACCAATAAAGATATATATATATATATATATATATATTGTTTATCGATATCTTAATGAATTATATATTCTCAACATAAGATAGACGTGGCTGGTTCTTTGTCTACCATCACAAAAAGAAATTTAAAAAGAACAAGCTCTGTGCCTGTGACATGCATGGTTCAAAGACTTTGAAGGAACTTTAAGGTTTCATCAATATGCTTCTCAGGCTGAAACTGGTTGTTGTAGATAAGTTGAACCACTCCATTCTTGTCAAGAACATAGGTCTGTCGACCAGGCAATGTACCAAAAAGATCAGAAGGAACTCCCCACTCTTTTCTGATTTTGTTATCCTCATCACTCAGCAAGGTATATGGGAGTCTGTATTTCTTTGCAAATGCCTACATCAACACAAACACTGGGGTCAATAATAAACAAACTTCTGCTACCACTATTCCAAACTGATATGCTTCTGTTGTTAACTTATGTTGCTTCAATTTTATTTTTTCAGGACAAAACACTAGAACAAGAAACACGATGTATATCTATGTGTAAGAATCTTAAGAGGTGCAATAAGATCATTGGCAGAAGTTTGCAAATATAACCAATATAATGATGTCATGTGGTAGTTAAGAGGATTGATACATGTGACTGGTATACTAATTGATGTGTCCACATCTACCGAACTTAAAACATTTCAAATATGTTATGCATGCTACATTATTGTTTGACTCGGTTTCAAGTCAAACCAACATATTCTCTTATCGAGAGCTTAAAGTCGCTGAAAACCTTGTTCACCCTTGCTTGTTACCTCTAAAGAAGGCTGAGTTATCAAGAAGATATGGACCACAATAGAACAACATTTACAGTAATAAAGTACTTGCTCATGTGTCTGTGACATAAAGTTCCATCATTGAAGCCTGATCTTACCTTGTGTGACACTCCATCATCACCGCTAATCCCAACAACCTCGGCTCCTGCTTTCTTGAATTTTTCATACGAGTCCCTGAATGCGCATGCCTGCAAATTGCATCACAAATGATTGTTGGTCTAATGATACTTTCAAGCCAGTTGTTACTTCTAGGCAAAAAGGGAAAATATTAAGAATAACAATGGCACTTAGAAATCCCAAATATAACACTGATAATTTTTCTGCTGTTTCAATTTAGTTGGAAATTGTGCTATACCTTCGTTTAGGGAAAAGTACGAGGAGAGAAAAGACCGCAAAATGATGTGATCTGTGGTTTTCGTATATTGATTAGACCCATTTTCGGGGACTGGAAGGGGAACGCTTGAACTTTGCCTCCCCTCCTCTACATGCATCATAACAAGTAAGTAGTAACCCACCAAATATTTTCTGGGCTTTATATCTTCACAAAATGTAGCAATCACCACCGATAGAAAGAACAAGTTCTTTTTCTGCAGCTGTAGAGTGTACCCGACAGAAAGGGACACATCTAGAAAGAATGCTAACTTGTAACAATTCTATCCATCATCATTGTACCAATTCTTTCACAAAGTAAAACTAGAAGGACAGATCTGATGTAACTTACCAATTTGCGACAAAAGAAAGTTGTTTTGGCAAGTGACATGAATGGGATGCAGCCTTAAATAGGTCGAGATCCATACACAAACACCATGGACTGTCTCTATCTCTGTCTGTGACTACTGGCAAGGAATCCTTAACCTCCCTTTCATCACAATTGGGTTGTTCTTAAGTAGTGCCATGAATGGATATTCTAATAATTTCACATGGAGAAAATTGAGTGAATGTTCAAACACCAACCTATCAAAGATACCCAACTATCCTGTTGAGTATCTGACATGCATTTCTAAGGTGAGGAAGTCCCAACTCTGGAGTACACAAAACAAGTTGTACTTAGGCTGTATGGATATTCAGCCCTTGGCCTGTTCAAGATTGTTATTACAAGCACTTTAAAATTGAATATATTGTGGTCCAAGGTGGAAATTTGGAAGCCAGACAGAAGGTCCAGCATGTATGCATACTGAAATGGCCAACAGCGTCGCAAGGATGTGTTGGTGTGTCTATATGTGAATGCAAGGTGAACGTGTTGGCACACTTTCAGGCGAAGAAACAGAGAGGCTAGGCATGAGGCCTGTATGCACTGATATGGTCTAAAAGGTGCTGGTCCAGTTCGTTTTTGGACAGTAATCCAGAAGCAGGAGCACAGAGGTTATACATTGCAAAAAAATTGGGTTCATGGAAGCACACTAAAGTGTGCTTTTTGCATGAAATTTACTGTAATAATTTCCTTTCCTAAACCTTGTCTCACAGCTTCATCTGCAATGTCCTAAGCAAAGTAGCTAGTTGACCCAATAACCTTGGATTTAACTTTTCTTGAATCACAATAAATTGACAACTTTTCTTGAATAAAGCATATGATCAAAATCCAAAGAAATTGACAAGTTTTGTTGAAATTGGATGGGGTGGGGCAAAAGAAAAGAAATGGCAGGGAAGCAATAGAAACCTGCTTGGTGCAACCAGGGGTTTCATCAGCAGGGTAGAAATAGACGACAACAGGCTTGCCTTTGAACTTGGAGAGGCTCACATTCCTACCATCTTGATCTTTAAGTGTGAAGGAGGGGGGAACGGAGCCTTTGTTAACCTGCACTTGCAAACACAATTAATGAGAGAGAAAGAGAGGTGCGAAATACTTGTGTAATTAAATAAAAAGGCGTGAATGTACCTTGGCAGATACAATGACAGAGGTCTTGCTGATCAATGGAGTCAAAGAAGAAGAAGGGTTTGAAAAAGTGAGCTTGAGGCCATGAAAGTGGGATTGAGAGGATTTGAAGGGAGTATTAGCAAATGGGTATTGTTTTGGGGATTGGGTTGTAGCATTACAGCTAGGAAGCAAAGAAAGAAGAGGTTGCTTTACTAAAGACACCATTTTTATCTTAAATTTTTGTGATTGAAGCAGCGGAAGGGAAGGATGTGGAAGAAAGATAGGGTCAGTTATGCTTATGCATAAAGATTTCTTCAGCCTATGAGAAAGAAGCAAAAATCATCGTTATCGGTGGGTGTAGGGGAGATTGACGTGGATGGTGGCAGACCATCCCTCCGTCCGAGTCTCACCAAAGTGGATGAGGGTCTACAGTTGGCCTTACCAACACATACATTTATTGCAACTAATTTCAATTTTTATTTCAAAATTCTATCATTAGATTAAATTAACTTAAGATCATTCACGCTTCATGCAATTTATTTATATTTTTAGTTGTATTATATTAACTTTTGTAATTATCATCTATACATAAGCAATTCACCTAACTTTCAAAAGTGATTCTCACTACTACGACATTTATTAATTACTTCATAAATTATTTTATATATATATATATTATAATTATCTTTTAATAAATACATGATATATAATTCTTTATCTTATTCAATCTTTTAATAAATACATGATATAATAATATATTATAATCATTATATTATAAGGGGTCAAATAGAACAAAAAATGATGGTTCAGACCAATACACTTCATCATCCTTAAATACAAACACATTGACCCTTGAGCTAACATTGGTTGCTCGTCCAATAGAAAGGAAAGCTTCAAAGGATAAAGGTAAATAAAAATCCTTATTAAGTAACTCTATCGACAAGTCGATAAAGTAACAATTCAATTTTGATGCTAAAAAATAAAAACTGGCAATCAGATTGATGAAAATGTATCTATCAACTATGACAGAGCAACAATGACGATTGTACAATAAAAAAAATCGGCAACTTTTAGATGAATAAACATGTAATCTTATTCATGTTGTTTCATTAATCATGTGTATTAGATTATATTGACTGTAATTTTATCAATATTGTATGTTTTAATATGTATAATTTTAATTTTAGATAATGATAATGATAAAATTTAATGTTTAAATAGTTTTACTATATTTATTAAGATTGTATTTAAAAAAATATTTTAATAAGAATAATTAATTATATTTAAAAAAAGGAAAAGAAAATGTGATGGAACATGTGTGAATGTGGTATCAAAAATTGATTTTGCAATTGCTTTGTAGGATGTGCGTGGATGCTCTAAGTAGTAAGTAGTAACAAATTAAAACTTGTGAGATTTTGAATAATCGTTATACAAAATATAAATAAAAGAAAGAAAACTTTAATTAATAGTAGTTATATATATATGTTATCAAAATTTAATAATTATATAAAAATTTGAAAAATATAACTTCAACCTTTATAATTATATATAGTTTACTAAACCATTTTCTTCATACTTGTTTTTGATCTACTAAATAATAAAGATGTATGATGATAACAATAATATGAATAAGTAATATTAATTAATAAAGACTAATAATCAATATATAATATTTATAAATTAACAATTAAATACATTAATAAAATTGTATTTGTTGTTTGATTAGACACATTTCGATGCTAATTATTATACTTGTTTTTTTAACTATTTTTAAGCTATTGGTATTCATGAAACCAATCTTTCTATTTTTTTTAGAGATAAAGCTAAGGGTTCAATTAGTTTAGTTTAATTTTCTCTTGCATCTCCACTACTTCAAGAAAAATGGATCCTACATTTTTCTTTGAAAAAAAAAATACAATGTTAAATGTTAAATACAATGATAAGCAACTTCCAAGAAAATAATACTAATTCAAAACTTATAATTAAGATGATTCTAAGATCTAAATTTTTGAAAAATTTAAAGTTCTGTTCACAATCTCATTGGCATAAGTCACGCATCTAGTACTAACTTTTTGGAGGCCATATTTGATTTGTAATTCAGATAGAAATGATTTTTTTTAACTTATTTATTTTTTTGATATGTAACTACTGGAAATTTTTTTAAATCAATTTTTTTCGTAATCATATCTATAGTAAACTTTAGGAAGTGATATTCGAGACTCAACGAGTTTTTTTTTTTTTTTTTTCGATCTGTGGAGACGAAACGAGTTCAAAGGAAGCCCATAAGTTGACATCAAACATGGAAACCAGATCGATTTCCCTTTGCGACTATGATGCTGTTAGACTAGCATGCACTGCGCCCAACTCACCGTTTGATGCAATGTCCTTTTCCTCTCCACGGATAATTGGCGGTTACACATGTCATGCCATGAATCCTTATGCATGCATACTCACCTACCCATAAACCTCACCGTCCCATGATTGATTCCTTGTGCATACATATTACATAATCAGGACCCTACGTCCAAAGCCCATGAAAAATGATAAATAGGGGTCCAATCTGTTTTTTAGTATATAATAGTAAAAAAAAATTAAATAAAACAGACACAACTTTTTTTAATATCTAATAGGATTCAAAGATTTTCGTATTATATTACTGGTTTAAACAAGTATATTAATTAATTACGTTGGAAAAGAAAATATGTAAAAAGTTAATTGGTTTTTCAATTTATATTATTGTTTATTTAATTTTTTTTATTTAATATCAAAGTCTAAAACTAATTTTCTAGAAAATCTTGATTTATTATCCATCAAATCATTCATCTTCCATCGGTGCTATTAGAAAACCAAAGTTTAATAGGACCCAAAGAATTTCATACCATATTAAGGGCCTAAACATGTATTAAATGATTATATTAGAAAATAAAATATATAAAAAGTTAATTGATTGTTCTTTTATAGTATTGCTCATTATTTTTCTCTAAATTTTTTATCTACCACCAAAATCTAAAACTACTTGCTTAGAAAATCTTGATACATTCTCCAACATTCATCTCCTAGTGACTCATTTGATTATTTCATCCATATGAGACGGTACAACTTATATATATATATATATTTAAAATTTCAAGACTACCCTTGTTTTTTCAAACATTATTGATCAATTATTACCTAATACTGAGTGTATGAATCTTAACTTACTATTCTATCTCTAAAACAAGAAGAAGATTTTAAGTTATAACCAGCATGAGCTTTCCATTCTAATTCCAAATAACTTTGTTTTAACCTTAAAAGTTTAAAACAACGATGAAAAACATTAACCTAGATGAGATGGAAGCCTAACTGATTCATGGACGGACTCATTGAAGGGAATATGGTGGCATGTGCCACCATATTATCTCTTTGTTGAAGGGTTAAATTTTTTACGTTTATGAAAGGTGCAATCGTATCGTTTTAAAAGGTGTCATCGTATTTCTTATAATAGAAACGCCATATTAAAAAGAAATTGTATTATCAAGGACTCTTTTTCAGATCTCATTCAGAACCTAAAAAAATACCAAGAATGAGTAATTTGTGCATAATTCATATTCTTTCCTTGTTAATCTTTATCTTTTTATGATCCTTTTTTTTAATTATCTTATATTTTTTTAGTTTAACAACAATTGTTAGTCTCAATTTCTAGTAGTTATAGTTTAGGTTATAAATATGATTTAATTTCATCATTGTTAAACAGATCATCAATAATACAATTCTTTTTCTTTTTCTTTTTTTGTTTTCGAGTTTTACAAATTGTAATTTTCGATCCCAAAAAGTTTAGACGCTTTACGTTGGGAGACTCATTTAATGACAACTATCCTCGAGAAGGAAAGAAATTGAAATTTCCAAAATTATCTGAAAGCTGAAATTTGTAATATAGTCGTAACTTAAATACTCGTTTAAGTAGCTAGTGATGAAAGACGTGGCAAAATTGGAATAAATATTAAAATAAGAATGTTGTAAGTGTGAACAATAAATTAAAAAATATATTAAAATCATTAATTATGTTTATCATATAAAAAATATAATGACATGACAACCTTACAATACTAGACTACATACTAGTAGTTGTATAGTTAATAGTTAATAGTTGTATCATGTAATTGTAATATGTGTAAAAATAGTGTTTTTGTTTGGGGCAGGCCACTAGTAGTCTGTGGGATTCGGATGGGTCTTTTAAGCCCATTACATTTTCATTTTACCAACTTTTCTTTTTCAGTCCACTGCTTTTTCTACTTCTACTTCTATTTCTACTTCTACTTCTACTTGTACCCTACAAATCTACAATACATCTCTTCAATACATGAACAATAATTATGTTGTGCTTCTGCTTCAACTTCAAGAAAAACATGCCAGAAACATATTCAATACTAATTATTTATACGTGTCTTAAAAGGTAGGGATGTATTGTAATCATATGCATTAATTAAACCACTTATATATATGTGACAAAATATTATGTATTAGCCATCAAAGTTGGTGTTGAGACTTTAGGGGCCATCTGCAAAAATGTAAATATACCTATATATGTCATTGTTTTTTAAATATAGAATTTGTTAAACCCAATTCCATTCTTAATTATTAAAACAAGAATCAATTAAATTAATAGATCCTAATTAATTAAAACACACAGAGAGAGAAGGAGAGAGATATAAAGTGTATCTTATATATAGTTTGGAGATAGAGGCATCTATTTTTGATAGCCATTAATTAATGAAGATGTATATATAGTTTGGTGGAAGTAATGTTAATTAATGAAAAAGACACAAGAGAATTTAATGAAATTGGTGGCATTGATATGAAGCAATTAATTTCTCCCATCTCAATAAAGAGAGTCAAGGAAAGACACAATTGCAATTGTCTTCCTCAATCACCGCACCATTTTTAATTATTTTATCATTCAATTCTTATCTAAAATAACAATCAATTTCCTTTTAATCCATCTAAAATTTAATTTTCAGAATGGTTTGCGTGTTACATGTTTTTTTCTTTTTTTGTATTTTCCACCACAAACAAATTTATTAGCTGTCTAGTTTGGTTGGGAGGCGTCAGGGTCAGGGTCACCCAACCACAAGAGTTAATGAATCAATTCAACCACAATCACAAATTTAATTAAACCTAAGTTGGGTTTCTTAATTCATGGATTAATCAGCCTGGCCAGCAAGCATATATAGAATTGAAGTACGTGGATGGTGTTTGATATTATATATAAATAAATAAGCACAAATCAATTTATATATATATGGTATTAAATTTGAATTAGAAGAAGGTCAAGTAGCTAGAATTTAATGAATTAAGCGTACAAGTCGAGCAGCTCGTCTAGAGAGTCTGGTTGTGGATCCGCATTTTGAAGCATCCATAACAAGTGTTCAAACAGCACCACCTCGCATTCCACCGTCTCCCCGTCGCCAGAACGTTCCACCAGCTCCTGAACCACCGGGTGTTGTGCCACTTCTGAGCTTATATCATAACGCCGTCGGGATTTGCCCACGTACACAGCCACCACCTGCTGCTCCACCTCGCAATCTCTTCTAATATTGTAATCGTTCTCTTCATTACGCACTGCTGCAGTAGCCTTGCCCAATGATTGCCATTTCTTTAGCACTGACTTGAGCTTGGTTAGCTTGCCTCCTGATCCTCTTCCTCTAGGCATTCTTAATTGTAGATTCAAGAAAAAGAATTGAAAGAAAGTGTACAAGGGTTGAGGCATGCATGTGTCTATTAATTAATTAGACATATATATATACATATAGAGAGAGAGAGAAATAGGATGTTGCTAGCTAGCTAGCTGGGGTTGGATGTTTGATGGACCCACATTCACATATTGTTGTAGTTGAGACCAGGTTTGCTTGTATACCAGTCAGTTAATTGCTTCTTAAGACAAGGACCATTTGCCACAATCTTTATAATTTATTATTATTATTATTATATGTATGTATGTATGTATATTGTGCTGTTTTTTTGTTTCTAAACTATTAATTCATTCTTGGATATATTCTAGGTCCATGTTTTTTTGTTTCTTCTCTCTCTCTCTCTATATATATATATATAGTTGGTAGAGAGAAATAGAAAGATAATATGATTTGATTACTTCTTACAAATAATATATACATATTTTAAATAAAATGTTAGAGATTTGAGATGCATGATATATACTAGTTTTTTCATACATGCACCTACTCTTGCATACCCATTTTTAACAAGCAAATAAAATTTTGGACTAGACCATGCAAGGTTTGAATATGAAAATAGGTCTAATTAGGCATTTTTTGATCGATATTTAACTGACTTTTAAAAAATATAGTATTTTGTCTAGTCGAGCTTTTTGACCTGATATGGATTCGGACTCGAGTTTATTAGAATGTTGGGACCATTTTATGCATATATATATATTGGATATTGATTTGTAATTGATGGGAATCTTGGTTTGTTTTGTTTTTCTTTATAAAAATTAAGGATACATGATGAGTAGTTAGTTTAAGATGATTAAAAGACAAATACAATACCTTTGGCTTCCTTCACCAATAATGTATGTATCCGTTTTAACTTACTATTATTCTTTGTGTCTCCCAAGAAGAAAGTGATGGATGTTCCCTTCAATTTTTTCTTTAATTAATTTGTGTGTTTTTGTTCGTCAAATAGAAACATAAATCCAAAATAAAAAAGAGATATATATATATATATATATATATATATATATATATATTGGAGATTGAGTATGATAATAATATTATATGATATGATATATGTATGTTAATAAGATTCATGCATCATGCATCATGCATCATGCATCATGCATCATGTATATATTCCTCCTACCGCTAGCTAAACATGCATTTGCATTTGAAAGCGACAGGCATGTGACCCCTAAAATATATGTTTTTGTCTTCATCCTCACCACCCTTTCAAATTATTATATCCTCTCTTACCACCACACCAAACTACCAACTTTTCTCTTTTCTTTTTCTCCTTAAATTATTATTATTTTTATTTATATATATATATATATATATATATATATATGTTTTCAATTTCTTTTTACATAAACCAACATTTTACAACACTTTTCATTTTTTACAATTTATTATGACATGAATACGTGCCTGCTCCAATGTAAATAATCATTAATTAGTTACTACAACTTTCTTAATAAAATACGTTATGGACTTTTAAGTTTAATTACATGACCAACTATTCTCTGTCTTATATAAAGATGTTATGATATAATTTACTATAACTATCCTTTAATACAACAACTAGTTGTAAAATGCATTTTTTTAATTACATCATGAATGAATGCTCTCATTGGGGTTTGTAGCTCATCTCCATCTTTCTGGAGCAATCATTCAAGTAAACATTTAGTTGTTTTGGTACTAAGCATTAATTATATCGATAGATGCTTTAATTAATGAAGGCTAGGCTGTTAATGCATATAAGATAAGGTAAAGCAATAACAATAACAATAACAATACTAGTTGGATAGAATCAATAATTAATTATAAGGGAAGCAAGATGAGCATTACTTGCTTAAAGAATTAAACTTTAACTTACCAACCAAGTATCTCAATGATTAGGTGATATGCATATATGTATGGATTGATAGAACTAAAAGAAAAATCATGATTACGTCGATACAAATATAAGGGCATATGTACTATCGTGAAAAACACATGTAAACAAAAGCATGTGAATTACACATGCAATGCAATCGTATTTCATATTCATTAATTGGTTATAGCTATAGCTATAGGAAAAGAGTTGGCCATCCATCATTCATTCACGCATGCCAACCTGTAAAAACAGATAATCTTAGATTTAAATAATGATGTATGCTTGTTAATTAAATTTTCCATGACCAAACGATTGCTAACTAAAATTCATTTTTTAATGTTTACCAAGATATAACTTATTTTAATCTATAACAGATAATCCTCATCTAAATAATATTATCTTGATTAACAACCAAAATACTAACCCCAGTTACCCGACCCCTTTTTACTTATTATTCATCTAACGACCAACAACAATATTTGAGTGGTGTGGAGCTACAGCTAGCCTTATTTGTAATTGGGCTTGGCTACCTGGGCTGGGCTGGGCTGGGCTTCTTTTTCACACCCGTATCATTATTTTCATTATCTGAATCTGAACTGATGCTCCATCCATGGCAGATTGGCAATTGCATGACTCATGAGTCATGACTAGGGTGTTCTAGTGGCATCGGGACTCGCGATCATGGTAGTCTGGACCAGCAGCGTTCCACGAGGTCGGCTGTTTATGTGGCGCTGCTTTCATCCAATTTCACCATACCCATACATCCTTCTTCCCTATGCTATACTGTTTATTTCCCACCCTACAATATATAGACGCCGGATTTTGCATATCAACATGAGAATTCGATCTGAATACTAACAGAAACATGAGCCTGAAATGCAATTTACTTCTAGGAAGAGATATTCGGCTATGTGCACCTCAAGTAAACATCATTGGGACAAGTTTCCATCGATCACGGAGGCGTCCAAGGCTCAGAAGATCCGCATTTCATCAGTTAAGTTTATCTTCATATTCATCACAGGACAATTTAATCCATTCCTTTCTTTCTCAATTGAATTCACTGGATTTGCTTGCTCCAGCCCTAGGTTTCACCACTGCTCTCGCTATTCTCTACAACTCCACTCGCACCACCTCCAGTACACACCTCTCCCTTGAATTTGGGGACTGGGCTCTCTTTACCTCTCCCACGCCGTTTAACCGTTTTCTCAAGTCGCGCTGTTCCTCTCTTCTGTTGGATTATTCAATTGAGAAACTGGTCAAGGAGGATGGCCATCTTGTTACATCCGATAGAGGACGGATTCAGCAAGTCGAAGGAAATGATGATCATTTAGTATTAGAAAAGCAACAACTTTCCTATCAGAGACTATGCGTCAACACCGACGATGGTGGGGTGGTTTCCTTGGATTGGCCTGCCAATTTGACGTTGACCCATGAACATGGTTTGGACACCACCATCTTCATTGTTCCTGGGACTTCGGATGGGAGTATGGATGAGAATGTAAGGTCCTTTGTATATGAATGCTTGAAGCGAGGCTGTTTCCCCATAGTCATGAATCCCAGGGGTTGTGCCCGTTCACCGCTGACAACACCACGGTAAGCTCTAATCTTTTCACTAACTTCCCTATTAAAAACCTCTTAGCTTAAACACTACCAAGATAATGTTATGAAAGGATACGAATTCAGGCCTGCCTTTTGATAACAGACGATAACTTTACCATGTGCTAATTTTGTCTAGACATTCAGTTGCACAAGTGATCGACAGATTATGTATAACTGCATGTACCTCACTTCTTTAAGCTCTTCTTGTGGCCGACTCCAAAGCAACTAATTAACTATACTAGTGTAAGTGACTGCCTAATTTGTTACCACTGTGGGATGGATGAGATGTCACAATCTCCTTCCCCCACTTCAATCCCTCACATCCTACTCATGAAAGGCATACACAGAAACCCAGATGGACCCAGAATCATTATCCCTCCAACCTACTACAACTTGATGACTAAAAACCATTTGTAACGCCCCAAAAAATGCGGTTGATCCTGCCGTAGCTATTATTCCAAAAATAGGTCACTACAACCATCATTAAGAATTTCATCTTTGGACCAACAAATGGCTTATGACTTGTAAGGAAATTCTAATTCGCTACCAATGAGGGACGAGACTTCACACTTCACCTCTTTAAATCTGCTTCTAAATTTAAACCTCAATAAACCCTCAAGTATCTTACTTGATTACTTTGATAACTACGGCAATAGTCATCCCATGTGACTTGAAATGCTTTATGATGTCTTACCTCCTTAATGATATAAGAAGTGACGCCTAAACTCTATTTATGAATTTACTTGCAAAGAAACTTGACAGTTATCATGGTTAACCAAATGCGCACTTGATCAAACTTCTTTGTGTTACTTGCAATGATACTATGTCTCATATTAAATTTTTAATGCTGAAATTCTTTGCATCCTTGATAACTCTCATATTTTTGTGTTACACTGATAGTAGGACATTTTGACTACTTATATGTGTAGGTTATTTACAGCTGCTGACAGCGATGATATCCGCACAACTGTACAGTTCATCAACAAGGCCAGACCTTGGACAACGTTGATGGGTGTTGGCTTGGGTTATGGTGCAAATATGTTGACAAAGTATCTTGCAGAAGTTGGAGAGAAAACACCTCTTACAGCTGCCACATGCCTAGACAATCCTTTTGATCTAAAAGGGTCTGCTGCATCCTCTAATCGCCTTTATGTTGATCAGAATCTCACATGTGGCTTGATTGATATACTGCAATCCAACAAGGTTGTTACTCTTTCACATTATATATTTGACTAAGAAACAAGAAATGCTTTTCTTCCCCTTCCTGTTGATTTTCACAAAGTATAAGAAATGGCTCCGATGGAATGCAGTGATGACATACTATTAATCTCCGTTTATGACCATCCATCTATGGGCTGACCGGTAAATGTCAAAATCAGAAAGTTATAACAGCACGAACAACAACAAAGCCTTTTATTCTTAACTATTTGGGGAACTAAATAGACATACTATTTGAAGTTACAGAAGAGTGAACCAAGTCTGAGAGCAGGAAGGCAACGTCCATTCCAAGTCCTCACTTTGATTTTCTTTTGACTAATCTCTGTTAATTTTGGTGTACTAAGTACTTCCCCTCCTACTTAGTGCTTCTAACCGGTGCCGAATCTCCAAATTAGGTGCTTTGGAGGTGCATTTCTCTGAGTGTGTGGCTTAATATGCACCTCGTGTATGTAACTATATCTCTGGATTCTTGATCTGAAATAGAGAATACAAGGAGATGTGTAATTGGGGTTACTAGAGCAGCAATTTGGCCATTTGTGTAAAACTCGGTCTGGTGGCAGAATGAGGCAAGACAACACAAGATATGTTTTTTTGTTGATAGTTTGGACTAATATAGGTGCATCGATACTTTTATTATATTCCTACCAAGAGACTTTGAAATTAAATTTTTATGAGAGAGAAACAATAGTTTATTAAATGCATGAAATATTTTAATTATATAGTCAACGTTGAAATCTCCGAAAAGGAGAAGCTGTTGGAGTTGGATGTAGTTTGTTTTAGAGATTGTGAATTTTGATTCTCCATTTTGGAGAAATTTTGAAGAATCTGTTGGAGATGCTTTTATGTCAGTTAATGTTGCCCCTTCTCATGGTTGACGATACGAGAGATGTACAAATCATCTCAATGGTGTTCATTTCTCCCTAATCGAGTCTGAATATCCTCGTTTCTAGTCTTGCCAACTTTCTCAAGCCAAACAATAGCCTTAGCATTCACATTGCGCCTATATGTATCTTATCAAGCACCTTCTGTTGGTGGTTTAAAACAGAAAAGTTATGATACCAAACTTCAAGGGGAGCATATGGTGAAGATGTTAAAGTATTTAGTAATCGAATTGACTTTTTTTTGGTTATGCTATCAGACTCCTCTGACATCTGAATTTTATTTCCCGCCCCTATCTTATCTCTGCAATAACCGGTTCATAATGTCTTTTTACGCTTCCAGGAACTATTCCAGGGTCAATCTAAAGGGTTCGATGTGGAAAGGGCTTTACAGGCTAGATCACTCAGGGATTTCGAGGAGGCTATATCTATGGTGGTGTATGGATTTGATTCGATTGAAGAATTTTATGTCAACTCCAGCTCAAGAGACGTGGTTGGTGATGTAAAGATTCCGCTTCTCTTTATTCAGGTAAATTATATTGTTAGCCATTGTTCATTACCTCCTGGGTCTAACATGATCACCTTTACGCATACATATGCATGTTTGCTTTCCTGCATATTGATGCTGCCGAAGTTCATGAAACATTTTAAGAAAAGAGGCAAGGTTGATCAAATCACAATTGCGCATATGTTGGCTTTGTCGAAAGGAGATACTGCATGCATGATTTTGTCCTTTCTCTGATTTCCGAAGTTCTTAATCTAAGTGTTTCAACCCCATTCTATTCAGTCATTGCTTTAAAAATGCTTCATCATATTCATTGGCGCTACAAGATATTTGCAGCAAGCTGCTACTAGTTATAGGTTTGGTTTCCAGAACTTATTTGGAAAATTCAAGGGAAAAGTCAAGTCATGTAATGTTATTGAATTTAGTATGCATGTCATGTATGCTTCCTGTCTATTGCCTGTTGATAAATAATTAAATAACTTTGCAACTCTAATTTGGAATACTGGAAAGTAATAATCTTTGCCTAGGACTTGAAGAACTTTTGATGCTTTTGAATATCCAATTCAGTATTTGACAACTTTGAATTCTGATGGTTTGTATCAGAACGATGCAGTTCCATCTTGTTCTATTCCGCGCGGCTTGATAATGGAAAATCCATTTACCAGTCTGCTTATGTGCTCTTTTCCATCAAATGACAAAAGCACTACTGGGACATCTGCTGTATCATGGTGTCAGCATCTTGTCATTGAGGTAATTATTTAGAGACAGTATAATTACATAGCTTCCAAAGTGGGAAGTTCTAATTTATTTGTATTATTGGTTATTGGTTTATCACAAATCAATATAATGCATTGACTTTCTACATTTACTCTATTAGGTTAGTCAATGCATAATATTTATCTTGCATGTCTACATGCAGTGGCTTACAGCTGTTGAGCTCGGGCTTCTGAAAGGCCGGCATCCTCTTTTGGAGGACAGTGATGTAACCATCAATCCTTCAAAGCGTCTAAAACTGATGGCAAACAATACAACTCATGCAAGTAGCAAAAGCAATAATCTTCTGAACCTTCACCAGGTGGATGCTTTGGATGGGAATGCCGCATATACTTCGAAAAAGATGATGAAAAGTGATGCATATGCTTATTCTAACTCTGGTTTTGACTCACAAAAATCTAAAGCCGAAGATAAAGAAGTAAAAACAGATAGCAATGGAATGGTCACACAAACAAACCTTGTAGAGACAGAACTAGTGAAGGAAGGGGATGTTGATGTTGTAGATGGTGAAAGAGGGAAAGTGCTTCAGGCTTCAGAAGTTGTGATGAATATGCTTGACAAGAAGTTGCCTAAAGCTCTATCAGAAGAACAGAAGAATAAGGTAATGCCTGTGATGGCTTATATTTTTCAGAATATCAATATAATGCTTTGTGAATCATTTTCCTCAAAATTCAGAGGGTGAGAGAGAGTGTGTGTATTCATGTCAGAGAGTGAGAGAGTAAGGTGAAGAAGCTTCTAGTCTAGGTCCACGTCTTACTTCAACAAGCCAAGTAACAATATTGGAGATTCATGATGACCACATGCTTATATAATGCTTCTAGGGTTTCTACGTAGGAGGCATCTACATATAGGGTGTATGAAGGATATCTTCCATCAGTATGTGAGGAAGCCCATAAAATGGGAGATTCATTTTCACTTCCCAAAAAATAGTTGACCATCAGAGTGAGAAAAGTGAGCTGCTTGCATCGAAAATTGTTTGGTGGTGTGAAAAATTTTAGGTTGCTATTTAGCCCAAACAGTGAAAGGCTCACTTCTTTTTGACTCACCAAGGTATTATTCAATATAGTCTTTATGGACGTCTTCGACCGTGTGTTCTCTAAAAGGTTTCCAGGGATAGCATTTTATAGAACTTAACAAACTGAAATGTTAAAGAATTGCATTCCTATCTTAAGTAAGGAGTCTCTAATCCCTGCTTGCCTTCATCCTGTATGTTTTCAGTATCACTGTACATGATATAACTCAGATGATTAACAAAGAGAATTTTCGTTTATGATAAATAAGATTTTCCCACTTTCACTAAGCATTAATTATCAAGGTTGGTGTATCCAACATTATCAAGTTGGAGGATCACCTGATTTAAAGAGTTTAAAGCCTTTTCTTTTGCATGCTAGGATGTTGATTAAGAATAGTGCGAAGTATCGCCTATGGTGTTTATGCATGTGATGGCTTTGATTAGGTCCTGACGGCGGTTGGTCAAGGAGAGACCCTAATGAATGCTTTGAAAGGTGCTGTGCCTGAAGATGTTCGAGGAAAGCTCACCAGTGCTGTTACTGTGATCCTGCAAAACCAAAAGAACAACTTAAATGGACTCTCAAGTATTAGTAGCATTCCTGATGTGACATTAGGGTTGAACACAAATATGCAAGAAAAATCCAGGCTGAAAGAGCCAAATACTTCTGAGCATAACAAGGGGGATGCTAGTATGGCAGAGGAATCCAATGGCCATCCTAGCAAAAATGTTGCTTCTGGCGGTGGGGAAGAACCTGGGGATCAAACTTTGGCGAACCCTGGAATTTCCAAAGATGGTAGTCAGTTACCGTCAACAAGTCATCACGGTGGTGATATTCCCAGTTCAGCGAAGACAAGCCATGATGAATTGGGAAGCAACAATCAAAGTGCCGACTCTTCCAAAGAAAAAGCCGCTCAATCTTCTAGTTTTCATGATGCAAGTTCAAGTGCTATCCCCAATGTATCTAGTAGAGCGGAAAAGTCTGGTAGCTCGGACGATCAAGTCAGGGAACAGGTCAAATTGGAACAAGAAGGTGAAACGACTTACTCAGACATGAAAGAAGAGAAGGATGCTCAACAGAAAGAAGAGAAAGATGCTCAAGCAAAAGCAGAGAAAGATGCTCAACCAAAAGAAGAGAAAGAGGCTCAACAGAAAGAAGAGAAAGATGCACAATTTTCTACTGATCAGCCAAGTAATGTAATCCCAAGGACCGAGGAAAGTTTGTTGCCTTCAGCATCTTCTCTGGAGAACCAGTTGATGGCAAAAGATGAAGGTGAAAATCAGAAAAAGGAAGAATCAAGTGCACAGCCTGCCCCAAGTCACAGCAGTTCTAATTCTCCATCATTTAGTGTTTCTCAGGCGTTTGATGCACTAACAGGGATGGATGATTCAACCCAAGTAGCAGTCAACAGTGTTTTTAGTGTAATTGAAGATATGATTACTCAGTTGGAAGGGAACAGTGATGATGAAACTGCAATTGGTGATATAGAAAAGGTTGAGGACAAAGTTGCAGACTCTGGGCCTAAGAAAAACCAGACTGAAATCGAATCTGATTTGCAACAGAATGGAAAAAGTAACATGACAACTGAGCCTAATGAATTAGGTAATCACCTGCAGAGCATGTCAATTAGCGAACTTACCCCAGAGGAAAAAGATAAAGCTGAAGTCTTTAACAACAGTCGAGATGACATCCCACATTCCATAGCTAAACTTCCATATAGGAACTCTCTTTATGACCACCACTTTCAAAGTAACGTTTGTTCAAGTATGAAAAATGATAAGTTGCTTGATTCGGATGCCACAACTGCTTTATTCCTTGATTATGTTCCAGAAGTAGGTCAATGGAAGCTCTCAGAGCAATCTCCTGAAGGTATAGACATAAATGTTGAGAGCACTTTGCCAACTGATGTTGAATGCCATGATGACATTATTGAACCATCTTATGTAATATTAGAAGCTGAAAGTGATTGGGACCCACTTGGGGAATATAAGAAAAGAATAAAAACCAAAGAAAAACTTGAGATTCTGGATGATGAATCTGTGGTGCTTATGCAACTCGTCAAAGAGAATATATTAAATTCCTTGAAGGTTGAGGTTTGCCGAAGAATACAAGCAACAGATATGGAGGATATAGCACCCGTGCTGAAAAAAGAATTAGAGCATGTTGCCGATACCATCTCACTGGCTGTAGTACAAGACAAACAGCTTATAATGTCATGGGATGGTGAGCACTTGCTGGGACCTGGTAATCTGCATGCTGAACATATATTAGATGCCATCTCTTCGGCCGTTCAGGGCACCAGATATATGAAAAAAGTGATTCCAGTTGGCATTGTTGTAGGTTCTAGCTTAGCTTCTTTGAGAAAAAATTTCAACATTGCTACAGCAGATTCTATAGGGAGCATTGAAGTTGTAAGAGATCAAATCGGTAACTCTCAGAAAGGATATCATATACAAGCAGATAGTACTGTTTCTGATCAAATGCCTATTGATAAAGTCAATCAGAACGACAACTTCCACAGTTTGGAGGACAGCTATGAGGAGAAAGATGTGTCAAGTAGTCTAGGAAGTGACACTGTCATGGTTGGAGCAGTTACTGCTGCCTTAGGGGCATCTGCTTTATTGGTTCATCAACAAGTAAGGTTTCTTTTTCTGCTGCAGAGTATTATCATTTTAGATCTTTTCTTTAAACCTACAAATGTGCAATTTGTTCTAATGTGAAATTTGGTTACGTATGCAATCTTTTGAGAATCGGACAGAGGTGGTGTAACTGGGTTATATGTGTAAACTGATTACATAATTGCAATATTTGCCCAAAGGAGATGTAGGTTAAAAGAAGAAATTTACTACAAATTCAAACCAGTAGTTGAATAACATGCTCCTCAAACCTTACAGGGCAATAAGCTAGGTTTAATTCTTTAAGAAGTCACATCCCCATAGTTGCATCATACTTGGTGTAGATTGCTGATTTTGTAAAATTGGAGCCTACTTTTAAATGATTTTCCCCTTCCAAGTATAAGTGAAATGGATTAGATTCAACTCTTGAAGAGGTCGCATCCTCATAATTGCATCATACTTCGTGTGCAGTTGCTGGTTTTATAACATTGGGGCTATCTTTTAAATATTTTTCTCCTTCCAAACTTAAAGTGCAATAAATTAGGTCCAACTCTTTAGGAAGTCACATCCCCATAATTGCATCATACTTGGTGTACAGGTGCTGATTTTATAACACTGGAACTATCTTCTAAATAATTTCAACATCCAAACTTCTTATCACACTCCTGCTCGAGCTCATGATCTATGTCTGACATGCTTGTCTGTATGCCTCATCATTTTTGTCTCTATAACATCTTGGGATTCTTTTTAATCTCAAATGTTAATTTAATTTGGAGTGATCCATGTACTTACTACATCATTGTTGTGCTATTTAAGAACAAAGTCTTGAACTATGACATAGCACCAGGTTATTGATTATCTGATCAAATTTCACTTTACAAGTGATTAGGGCTGATACATACCCTTTTTCCCTCTATGTAATTAATTTCACTGATATTCAACAAAGTGTGTACTTGCATGAAGGATTCATATAGTGATAGACTCGAAAGTTCCACAACTTCCTCTATGCCATTCAATCAAAAAGAGAATCATCAGGAGCCTGGGAAACCTGAGCAGGAAATGTCCAAAAGTAGTGACCATAATATAGTCACAGGTCTTGCGGAGAAAGCAATGTCAGTTGCTGGTCCTGTAGTGCCTATGAAGGAAGGTGAAGTGGATCAAGAAAGGTTTGTTTATTTGAAATTTTCTCATTTAGTTGTTTAACCTTTCTATCTCTATAAATACATATACCTGCATGCATACGCCAATATTATGTAGCTGAACTTGCTCCTTGTGTGGCTAGGCTGGTTGCACTGTTGGCAGATTTGGGGCAAAGAGGTGGCATCTTGAGGTTGGTTGGTAAACTTGCTTTGCTTTGGGGTGGAATACGTGGTGCTATGAGTTTGACAGGGAAGCTCATCTCCTTTCTGCACCTTGCTGACCGGCCCCTGTTTCAGAGGTAAATAGCGACACTTGAGAGTATTTCATTTTTATGTGCTCCAAACGTGCTCCATCTCCTGACACTCGTATGTGCTGTGAAGTATAAATCCGTATTAGCGTGTACACATTGACATTACTTTCTCATCAGATGTACAACTGTGCTAAACATGAATAACAATGAGTGCAAGTGAAGATGGTGCCCTCTGTTTAACGCATTCTGGGTTTTCACTCGAGAACATGCGTGTTCTGGTTGTAATCTAAACCGTTAATCAGTCATGCTGTGAGAACTGTATGATTAGTTAGTCTAGAAAACAGCTCTTGCTGAATGAGTTAATGACAATGTCGTTGCAATTCCACAGGCAATCCTTCTTGTTCTTGTAGAGGCAGAAATTCCACCTCATTGAAGTGTAGGGGAATAAATAAACTATATCGCCCACTTGATGCTCAAGTGTAATATGCTTCTCCAACTGTGTTCTGATTTTAGTTCGTATTATGAGCCTGAAACAATTAACCTATTGCTGCTTGAGTTTAACGGTTGGAACATTACCCTAAATTTGCCTAGCTAGTTGCTTCCCACATATGTGTACCATGTCTCGAGAAGGTATGTCTTCTTGAGTTAACCCTATCAGCCCTCACGTTCCAGGTTAATGGATCAGTTCCCTTAAGCTAGAGCTTTGTTAATGAAATTACTATTTTTTAGTTGAGCAAGTGCTTGACCCATAAGTCAGTACACAGTTTTCTTAGATGCAGTTTATGTGGCGTTGGCATAATCTTTGAGAAGGGTTTACTTGATTATACTGAAGTGGTACTTGGAAATGTTGAATGGTAATGTTAAAGCCAAAACTTCGTATTTTAGTTAAAGAAATACAGTAATGAATACATAAGCTATCTAGTTCTGTACTCACTCTTCTTTTTCTGAGGAGCACTTTTATTTATTCATTTTCGCACTATCTGTAGGAAGTTACGCCTTATTATGTTTCTGTTTCCGATTGGCATCTATGAGTCCCAGCTCAATTTGAACATGTAACTTATGTCTTTATTGGGCAATAATAACCACTTCTGCAAGTCAGTTGACATCGACATCTTCTAACTTTGTTTTGTTCTACTTCCTTATCTCAGGATTTTGGGGTTTCTCTTTATGGTGCTTGTATTGTGGACACCAGTTGTTGTTCCTTTGCTTCCAACACTTGTACAGAACTGGGCAACACACAATTCTTCAAATATTGCAGAGCTTGCTTGCATAATTGGTCTTTATAGTTCTATAATGATACTGATTGTGTTATGGGGCAAAAGGATTAGGGGTTATGAAGATCCACTTGAGAGATATGGGCTAGAGTTGACATCAGCAAGGCAGGTATTATTAACTTGAAAATATACCATTCTTTGTTACTACTATGGGGTCCTGAAGCACAAGGAGATTTTACTCGTCCGGGAACACATTAAATATTTACCTAAACTGGTAGGCCCTTGAGCGAATCCCCGTGAATACCCCCCAAATCTATGGGTAGAACACCTGGTAGAAAGACCCAATCTTGGGTGAAATAAATATTCACGCTTTTTTCTTTATCTTAGTCTTGTGGATCTACTCATCTGTGATAACATGTTTCCACAACCAACCCTCACCCCACCGGGAAAAAGAAAAAAACTAAAAAGTGGGTCGGGGTTTGGCAGGAGGTTCTCTGCTAGAAGGGTGTAATGACATAGCGTACTCTTAAATAAATTTTATATTATTTCTCCTCACTGGACGATTTGAGTTAGGGTGTCATTTCTCCCCACGGTGCGAATTGGGCGTGGGGTGCGGCTTGGGCACTAATGGATGCACCGGGTATGCACCTAATTGTTAAGACAAAAACAAAAGTTTCTATGATACGGCAGATGTGGTTAGGGTGTGGGCTGACTTGTTCTCATAACGGGTTCAGCTCATCTTTTGTCATTTTGAATTCTTGTTCCAAGCTTCCAATATGTCGAGGTTTAGAAAGGAAACATAACACTTCAGATACTTGGACATCTTATATGTATGGTTATAGAAACATAAAATATTTGCAGTTCCACTATCTCAATGATCAGGGTTCTGACGGTTCATTTTTTACCATTCTTGTCTTCATTTTCTTTTTTCGTATGTACTGGTTTCCTCTGCTTGTTTTTGCTTTATGCTCATTTAGGCTTTGTGTTTATGTGTTCATAGGGTAGGATTTCATAATAATGTTTGGCCAAAGAACTTTCTGGTATATGTTTTAGTTTTTGTAGAAGAATAACTATATGGCTAAATTTTAGTATTTATAAGAATGCCAAATCCATGTACCTGCTCCCCTGCTTCTGCATTGTGGTCCATATCAATATGCCTAATTACTGTTGGTGCTTCTAACTTCAGTTCAATTCTCTTGTTATGTTTTGCACTTTGCAGTTTATCTTTGGAGATATTACATTCTACTTACTAAGTATCTTTTTTCCAATTCAACCTGAGGTTTCAAGTAAAGCAGAATCATTCTACTTCTACATCAATTGTCTGGACGATCTAATGTTGGTTATGTTTCTGTTTCAGATCCAAAACTTTCTATGTGGCTTGATTGGAGGGGTGATGCTTGTTTTGTTGATACAATATACAAATGTGTTACTTGGTTTTGTGCGTCTATCTTGGCCTACTGTTCCATCTTCTACAGATGCTGTTACACTACTCAAGTTGTATGGGAAAGTGCTTACATTTGTTGGTCAAGGGCTTGTAACATCAATTGGCGTTGCTCTTGTAGAAGAATTATTCTTCAGGTCATGGTTGCCTGAAGAAATTGCAGCTGATCTTGGATACAGTCGAGGAATAATCCTATCAGGACTTGCATTTTCCTTATGTCAATGGTATGTTTTAACCAAATGACATTAAAATCCTTCTACGCAAACAAAAATATACTTCAGGTTAATTCTATTTATAGGACTTAACGTTATTTGTCTACATTTCTCATCACAAAATAACTGTTCCTCTTTTGGATATGGATGTATATCTTCTTGCTGTTCCTGTTTAGGCGTCTATCTTTCTGGAGCAAGATGTTCCTTTGGTTGGCATGTTCTCCAATTACATGAAGTTTCAGTTTTTAACTGCTACCTGAATTAGTTTTATGGCAAGAACTTCTGAATTATTTATTACTTTGTGTTAGGCCCTGTATTTGGACAGCAAGCATGGACTAGTTCTTACTTTCATTTGTGTTTTACTGATTCTAAGGTTTGCAAGAAGTCAAATGGGCTAATACTGTCAGATTTCTAATATTACCCCCTTGTAACGGTTTTCAAAACATTCAACAAACTAGAGTTCATTGATTCTATTGGGCCAAAGGCCATTTGGTTACCCCCTTGTAACTGTTTTCCAAACATTCGACAAACTAGAGTTCATGATTCCATTGGGCCAAAGGCTACTTGATTACCCCCTTGTAACTAATTCTTGTGGTTTGTTTCCATTAGTTGCCTAAGAAAGTAACAGGTGTCTAATTGCAAAGAGCAAGCTACTTTGTGTTAGGAGGGTGTTCTTGTTCTTAAATCGTAGCATCTTTTATGGTGACAGCTGTTATTAGAGGAGGTGGTACTGGTATATAGAGAAGCGAGTGTGGCAGATTCATTCATTTGTTATAAATACTGTCCTAAATAAGTAAATATAGAAATAAAGAACACATTCTTTGTAGATTGTGCATTATTGTTATATACAACTTTCTGATATTGGTTTTTTGGATACAAGGTCACTGAAGGCTGTACCAGGACTTTGGCTATTATCACTGGGCCTGGCAGGTGTTCGGCAGAGATTCCAAGGAAGCCTCTCAGTTCCAATTGGGTTGCGTGCAGGGATTATGGCTTCTAGTTTTGTCTTAAAAGCAGGTGGCCTTTTGACTTATCAACCTACTTATCCTTTATGGGCAAGTGCCGGTGACCCTTTCCAACCATTTAACAGCATAGTAGGTCTTGCTGTGGCTTTATTGTCGGCGATAATTCTCTATCCAAAAAAGCCTCAACATACAGATACAGGGAACATCAAGGAATAAGAGATACCAGAAACTTATGTGCTGCCTCTGGCCATGTTGTTTGAAGAGCCAACTTGTTTCGGCATATTTGCTTTCAGAATCATCAGTGAACCAATGGGAATGATTTTGCTCTGAGTTTTGGTTGATGCGAAAGTTTATTGTAGTGTACTATTTGTAAAAAAAAAAAGCAGCACATGTGTATATTCATTTTCACCTTTTACCTGCATGTTAGTGCAGTATACGTAGATGTAAAGCAATATTTGGCTATGTTTATAGTTGATTTTCTCAGCTCGGACCTGCGATTTAGCACAGTACATGAATATAGATGTAAAGCAATATTTGGCCTGTTACATTTTCCATTTGGTGGCAAAAAATTGGAACTTACTAAGAATCACCAACCATATGCATATGCTTTGAAGCAAAAAGGGAGGTTTATTGGTCAATAAACCTGTGCACTGCCTCTTTTACAATCTTTTGCATAAAGACCGCTACAGAGGGGCAAGTCTGTGGACTTTAGCCATTCATTGGCCCCATGTAAAAACGACTGTATCGTGAATTTCTCTACATCTCTACTAGAATTATTGTGATACCCGGCCCATTGCACCCGCTTTCTGGTATCTGCACCAGGCCCAAAGTTCATATATTCAATGTACTCAACGGTATCCAGGTTGCTGTATTTATTCCATGCGCACCAACCTTGGGGGTCTATAATGTCCCCTAGATAGCTCCTCATGACGATGGTCCTGGAATAATTCCTCCATGGTCTTCCCAGAAATGTGGAGAAATTTGCCCTTTCAGTAATTGAAAAGTCTGGTGCAGCCATTATGGTGCAATCTTGTAGTGATATGCCTGTGTTCTGGTTCGGGTCTAATCTCCCCTGTGCCGTGATGACATTTTTCTGACCCAGGATTGGTTTGCGAACAAGGATTAGACATCGTTCAAAAATAGCAGCTGCATTGCCGAAGATGAAATCAACGGTGCCGTGGATTGCACATTCGCGATATAGCTGGCTAAGAGAGTGAGCATAGAGAGTATCCTGATGAGAGATGAATTGGCAATGATAGAATGCAGCATCTGATGTGACCCTTAGAGCTACTGCTTGATGCTTCTCTGGGCCTGAGGTGTTCATGATGGTCAAGTCCCTTGCCAAAAAATTATTCCCAACAACAGCTGCACAAAATCATCATGCACCATATATTACTTTACTTCAGATATATACACACACACACACACACACATATAATAATAATAATTCTAAAAAGATTGTGTGTATATATATATATATATATACTTAGTGTTGCCGAGGTGAAGGTGGTATAGCCATCCACAAAGTTTTTGGAACCTGTGATGATTGTTGAGTTCATCCCTTCTCCAACCAGCATGATGTTAACCTTCTGTCTTGAAATCACCAGATTCTCATTGTATATCCCAGCTTTGATTTGAATCACATATCGTCCGGCACTTCGGTTGGGGGCCATCATAATTGCGGCACCGATGGTCGTGAAATTCCCACTGCCATCCATGGCAACAACGACAGTGGGTGGGAGCATTTTGGGTGGTGTCTGCATAAGTCTCCGATCAGCAGCGGTCATCCAAGATGGAACATGATCATGGTAAAGGCCTTTGGACAGAAGACGTGAATTTTTGAAGGTGGGACCCATAGTTTCCAGGTAGTTGACGATGGCTAAGCAGTTGCTGATCATGCGCATGATGGGTGTGAGAGATTTCTGGAAGTTGCGACCGAGGCGTGTCTGGGCGTTATCTTGGAGTTTCAAGTCGGAAAAGCCTTCAATGCAGGTGTTTTCGTTGGTCATGGCGGCACTGAGAAGGGTCTTGATGGTGGCAGAAGGCGGTGGATCGTTATAAGGAGGGTATAAGGGTTTGAGGGATTCTTGGAGTTCATAGAGGGTCTGATCGAGCAATTCGATGCAGTTGTCGACCCAGTCGTTTTCTTGAACCTTGAAAGTGAGGGTGGCCACTTTAGAGCGGAATTTGGTGACACGGTGGATGGTTTTTTGGATGGCGAATTGAAGGAGATGGAGGAGTCTTGTTTGGTTGTTGTGATGGTGGAGGTTAGTAGGGATGGAGGAGAGGGTGTGAAAACAGAGAGAAGGGTAGAGGGTATTGGTGCAGGTGTTTTTGATGAAGGAATGTGGTGGCGGAGGAGGGCGGACGATGAAGGGCGATGGTGGTGGTGGTGAAGAATGGGGGGGTTGATGGGAGAATAACAAGGAAGAGAGGAGGAGAAGCAATGCTACTGGGATGAATGTCGTGAGAACAAGTGAGGAAGAAGAAGGTCTTGGTGACTTCTTGATGGTGAAGGAGGACTCCATTATTGTTTGCTGATGATAATCAAGTCGCCTTCTTTCTTCCCTGAAATGCAAGACGCCGATTACTTGTTTGTTTTTTATTTACAGTTTAGACGCTTCAAGGTAACATCTATATATATATATTATTCCCATTAACAACTGTCCCTAAATCATTCCCATTTTAACTTGATTAAACTTGATCAAAACACTGGCAGTCAATTAGTAAACTTTAGTTTTTTGGGCTTCTTCCTTAAGATTATCAATTCAAGTCCCCATAAGACCACTCCTTCAAAGAGATCAGTTAAACCCACGATTAGCAAAAGAAAACTTGATCAAAAAATCTCTCTCTCTCTCCCTCTCTCTCTCTCTATATATATATATGGCTAGGTTCCGATCAGAAGAAGAGTTAAAGTGAGAACGGTGTAAAAAGGTTCTTCATTCTTTGATGCACATTAGGATAATATGTATTAAGATGAGATGCACCGGATCAATCACGTTTTGATGTATAATATGATGAGATGCATCAAGATGAGATGTGCTGGATCAATCCCCATATCAAGCACGATTGATGAGGGAGTTTGAGATTAGAGATGATCAAAGGTTCAGATATACTTCTCACAAGATCATTTGCATATATATATATATATAGAGAGAGAGAGAGAGAGAGAAATAAAGGGATTTAAAAGAAAACTCTAAAAACATGTAAAGTTAGCTATGGAAAAGTATGACGACTCTTGTTGTATACAAACCATTGAATTAAAATTGATTGATGGTTGATGTGATTCTCCATTTCTATAAAGTTATGCTTTGAACCCACCTTATATATATATATATATATATATATATATATATATATATATATATATACAAGAGAAGATAAAAGTAGACACATCAAGTGACAGTTAAGGGTTATTTTGGGCGACTAAGAACATTTGATAGCAAAATTCAAGTATTTTATGAATGGGGTTGTGTCATAGTATTAGCCTATATAAGGCTCGGATGAGATTTTATGCGCCAAATTTGTATGTATTTTAGTAATTGATAAGCAAGTCCCCTTCATCTGAATATCCCCTTCTTTTCCTACTTGTTTGGTTTAAAAGTAACACCATTTATTTAGTAATATTACAATTGCCTCCATAACACATTGAAAAGTTACAAAACACAAAACAACTTGCAACCTCCTTTTAAATCATTTGGATGTATATCACTGGACTTGACAAAATTGTAAATGTGTTTGCATGAAACAGAATATGATAATGACATAGCACATACATATATATATATATATATATATATATACATACATATATATATATATAGATAGAGAGATGCATATATAGATATATATATATATATAGAGAGAGAGAGAGAGAGAGAGTAACAGAAAAAAGAGATTACTGATAATAATTGATTATAAATTCCAATTTGGAGAGGATGCAAGGCAGAAGTCAATCACACAAATGGAATAGGAATTGGAATTGGAATTGGAATGAACACATACACATTACACACACAACACAAGCAAAAAAGCCTTTCAAAATCCTCTCTTCACTTCGCTTGCACTTGCACTTTTATTATTACTATATGCCTAGCAGACCACAGCTCCATCACCATTGCCATTGCTCACTTGCTCTCATCAACAGCCAATGGAACAGATTCAGCCTGCACCCACACCATTAATTAATTAATTAACACATACATACATATTCATTATGCACCCTTCATCCTGTAATCAAAGGAAGATGGTGAAAATTCCATTTCCATGCAACTTACCAATTTGCGGTACTTGAGACCATAAAACATTTCAAGATAACGACGGATCTCAAGCCTATCGAGCTTTGACACATGCTTCCAGAATCCATAAACTCCAGCAAGTGTCAACAACCTTTCTGAGTAGATCTGCCATGTGTATCTGCAATTGCAATTGCAATTCAACAACAATATCAGCTTCATTCTTCACTTCCTTACCATTATTAACATCTTTATTATAAGCTTAAATAATTATACTTACTTCTCCTGGATACGCTGCAGCCCACCCTTGGAAATCGCTTCCCAATGAGAAGGCTCTTCTTTGCACTTGTCAAAGAAGTTAACAAGCAGCTCAGTCACCTGGTCTCCATGATATGGATCAATGTGGAACCCAGATTTTCCATGAACAATGATCTCAGCAGGGCCCCCATGAAGGGTTGCAAATGTGGGTAACCCACAGGTCATGGCCTCAACCACCGTCAACCCAAATGCCTCGTAAAATGCAGGCTGAATAAAGGCTCCCCTCGTGTCTGCAATCACACGGTACAACTCCCCATTCCTCATTCTATTCATCTGTGAAGATATCCATCTAAACTGTCCATTCAGCTTGTAGTCCTCAATCAGCTGATACATCTTCTTCATCTGGGCTTGCTCTTCAAGATCTTTTGATTCCTTCCTTCTGTCACCACCCACCACAACAAGGTTCACCAATTCACGAAGACGCTCATTCTTGGCATACCACTCCACCAATCCTGTTAAGTTCTTCACATTGTCCAATCTTGCCATTGTGAATAGTATGGGCTTATTCTTGTCTTTCAGCACACATCTGTCACATTCATTTAAATAAATACTTGAGATCATTTGTATCTGATCACCATATAGACATAATACATAATTGTATAAATTTTCAATACAAACTGAAAGCAGCAGCTGAGAATTATCCTTACAGGTGTTCTTCGTTCTCAACAGAACTGAAGAGGAGTTCTTCAATTTCTGGGTGGAGTGCAGTCAGCCTCCTTTCTTTCTCAGTATAAGAGTAGTAGATCCCCATATCAGCACCAGGTGAAACAATATTGAACTTGGGGTCAAAGACATCTATTCCATGGACGACCCTGTACAGTCCAGGCATTGTGAAAGCTGTATGACTCTCATACTGTCCCACTGTATCTTTGCTGCAGATAACAACATCAACAAAGGCTTTGTAAGAATATACTCAACACCAAATTCTATGTAAATATATATAAGCAATAAGAACTAAGAAATGTATGTATGTATGTAATACCTTCCAGCAATCTCTTGGAAAGTACTTGTGATGATGAAATCAGTATGATTCATGGCAATAAGATCAGCTGTAAACTGAGAAGAGAAATGATACTTCTCCTCAAAGTTCTTCCAGTAGATATCAGAATCCGGGTACTTGGTCTTTTCCAGGGCATGAGCAATGGTACACTGCAGGCAGGCAGGGTAGTTTAGTCAATCAAAATCCAGTTGTGATGTGAGTTTCAAAAGGAGATCACAAACACATACCTGAGTGACACCTAGCTTGTGAGCCAACAAAGAGGCAACCAGGTTGCCCTCACTATAGTTTCCAATGATCAAATCTGGTTTTGCTTGCAACTCTGCTGTAACTTCTTTGGCCACATCCTAATGCAATACAACAAGATATATAGATGAGTAAGTAAATAAGAAACATCCATATAATATTGACGACAGAAAGCTTGGAGCTTGAGTGTACTAATTACCTCGGTGAAAGTCTCGATGTATGGCCACACGTCAAAACGAGAGATCCATTTGCGAAGAATTCCCTTTTCATTTCTAAAGGGAACCCGCAGAATGTGAGAGTTCTCTGCTCCAAATACTTTCTCAAGACGCTGCCCACAGGTGGTTCCAACAGCATCAGGGAGGAGTCTTGTCACCTGTATGTATACATTCATTTCAATCTTAATAAATACATTACATTCTTATAAGGAAATAGATATATAACTTTTCTGAAAGACTTACAATGAGAATACGAGGAACAATATCAAGTCCTTGCTCCTTTATCCTCTTGCGCATCTCACGCTCGAGAGCAGGAACTTGATCCAGAATGTAAACAACCTGACCACCCGTATCTGGATATCCCAAAACGTTTTCTTGAGCAAAGTAACCATGTGGAGAAAGAATAACCACATTGAAAACCATAGGAATTCTTCCAAGGAATTTCTCGAGAGTACAAGCATCCGGAGCCTCCAGAAGGTCCAGTAGCATATGGATCATCTCCATAACACCCTCTGCTTTATCACCCCAACCTCTCTCTAACCCGATCTCTTGAAACTTGTGTTCAAATTCAGAGTATGGAGTAGTCGCATCCAGTGTGGAAAGGTACTCTAATGCCTTCCTTAAAACAGATTGGAGAGCATTCAAGTTCTGGATTCTATCATTTAGCATCATTGTCTGCAGATCATACATACATGTCGATTGGATTGGATTGATACAATAGTCAAGGAAAAAATAGATAGATAGATAGATAGATAGATAGATGATTGTAGTACCTTGCCCTTGCAGTGGTGGGTACGGAGGAAATCCAGGAGAGGGTGCATGCTATCCTTGTCATGAAACATTTTAGCAGACAGATGCCTGTTAAGGAACTCAACCCCATTTCCGATAGATTTAGTGAGGGTTGGGCGGGGGAAAGACGCCGTGAAAGGTTCAAAGTCCAACTCCAGTACAAAGTTGCCGTTGGACCTGCCATCAATTCGATCAAACACATAAAAGTTTCCGTTTGCAAGAGGAATCGAAATCAGTAATAACCTATACTTACGTTCCATCAACGAGTTCTTCTTTGAAGTGAAGATATTCAGGAACACTTAATTCCTCAACCACAAGTGCATTGACATTGACTCTTATATATTCCCAAACACCAGGTCTCAGACGAATCGCAAGAGCAACCCATGGAGGCAGCACTATTGCTTCCTATTTATTTATATGTATCACACGAAATCAGCATAATCATGATCAGGTGTGTGTTTATTAGATCCCATGGGGAAAAAAGAAAAGAAAAAAGAAAAAAGAAAAAAAAAAAAGAGTAAAGTGAACCTGTGTGCATTTGAGAACTTCATGAAAGGCACCATCATGGAGTTTGCTTTGATCTTCCTTGCAGATTGCATCAAACTCAGACAAGAGTTGGTGAGGCTTCAGTATTCCTTTTCCATGGCTTTCAATCCTTTAAGAAAGAAGATTGTGAAAAGGTGTAATGAAGAAAAAACAATAAAGAGCGGGATGAGATACCTTGAAAGAACCATGAGGATCTCATTACGATGAGTTGCGAGAGTAGAATCGAGGCGCTCACGAAGACTGTGAACACGAGTGAGGACACGGTCCGCCATGATCGGAACTTAAGAATCTTCAACTGCAAGAGAAGAAAATTATGAAATTGGGTTTGCAGAGACGATGAATAGCAGCAAGTCAAAGAAGAGGGGCATCAGCCTCCACCTAATTCACATTAAGAAAGAAAACTAAGGATGAACAAGTTGAAAGGTAAAAGAGAGAGAGAGAGAGAGAGATGGCATCATACCCTTTTTTTTTCTTAGTTTCTGGTCAACAAGAAACAAAAATAGAAAAGAAGAACGGAGATGTTACGCAAAGATGGAAGAAAGCATATACGAGATATGAGATGAGATGAGATGAGAAGAGCAGAGCAGGAAGGGTGGATTATATAGGCAAAGCAGAGAAAGTGGAAGACACGCATCACCACCTCCACCTCCACCTCCATTGCCCTTCCCTTCCCTTCCCTTCTATTATTGTATTATTTTATTATAATATAATATTTACGTACCACTTCGCTTTTTCTTCCATTTTTCATTAAATCTTTTATTAAATAAATAAAAATACCCAACCTTTTCTGATTTATTAAAAGGATGGATGGCTTTTCACTTGATATACATACAATCTTAGATGCTCGTTGTTGTGTTGTGTTTACTTGTTTTCAATAACTTTCTTTGGTTTGGTTTGGTTTGGTTTGGTTTGGTTTTCTTTTTTAAAAATATATATGTAAACTATTTTTTGATTATTATTAAATCAAGCATTCAAAAGTCAAGCAATGGGTTTGGGGTTGTTTTCTTTCTTAATTCCTAGTTGTTTTTTTAATCGTCAAGCCTAAGGCTTATGTTTTCTTTTCTTTTTAGTAAGTGAAAACAGGCACATAGTTTATCGTTAATTAAAATATAATAGAATTGTACAAATACCCTCAAACCTCAAGCCTATGGCATGTTGTTTAGGTATCCTGGGTTAATAAACAACCACAACGATTCATTATTAAATACATACATACATAAAAGGAGCCACCCTCCCTCCTTATTTCTTTTATGCACCAAATCATCCTCTATAATATTATCACACTTCAATTGTTATTTTAATTTAAGACTTTAATATCATGTCATTCTTTTTCAACATTAATTATATCATCAAAACATTTTATAATATTTTGTTTATCGCTTTTAAACATTTTTATTTATTACAATGATAAAACAAATCAATCTTTCTTTTTTAATTTAATTTAATTTTTTCATACTCCAATTTAAAAATAAAACTTATCCTCCATTTACAAAAAATTTGTTGACCCAAACAAAAATCTTTATTTTAAATACCCTCTGTCTATTCTAATACTACTTCATTTCATTGAATAAGATAAGGGCCAAGGACTACATTCAAATAAATTAAGAGTCTTTGCTCCATTATTTATCCATGTTTTTTGGTTTTCGTCCTTCTAATTCTCTCAACTACATTTTTGGTACAAATTTTGTGTTTTAAATAAGTCCCTCTACTTAACACCGTTAGAGGAGGCTCCGTTAAGTATATCATGTACCTCACGTGAGGGACAATTTGGTCGTTTTACCTCTATCTCTTCATTTTGTTTTAAAAGACAAACAATAAATCAATATTATTTATTTTCTTTACAATGTTAAATTATAATCAGTGAAACTCTTTTTCTTCTTCAACCCACCGACATCTCAACTTTTCGAGTTTGGTTTTCAAGTCTGGTTCAAAAGTCGATCTCGTTTTCGAGTTTGATTTGTATTGAGATATGGTTTTCGCTTTTCACATTCAAGTTTGGATTATGATGTTTGGTTCTTGACTCTAGTTTGAGTTCGGTTCGTAAGGCGACAATATGGTTTCCAAGTCTATTTCAAAGGCAAATCCAAATTCAAGTATGTTGAAACATTTGAATCCTTGAGTACGAATTAGGGTTTTTATTTAGATTTAGGTTTTGAGTTAAGAATGTTCTTGAATATGAATGTGGAAGCCAACAATTTTTGTGTGTATAAATATGATTTTTATGATTGTTTTTGAATGTTTTGTATGAATGTTCTTGTTATTTATTTGTTTTGAATGTTCATACGAGTTTGTTTTTCATGGCCGTACTTGCAGGTGAAGGGTGGTGGTGGTGAGTGGTGGATGGTGGCAGGTGGAGTGTTAGGATAGTTGTGGGTGGGTGATGGTGGTGTGGATGAATGTTTTTGGAGGTGGAGGTGAGGATGAAGATGGATAAAAAGACCAAATTCCTCCTCGTATGAAGCATGAATGGACCTATAGTGATGCATACAGTGTCACCGTATTATTCCTCTGTCAAAAAGTAAAAAAATATATATATATTCGTAAAAGATGCAACCGTATTAATTTGTTGTGTGTTACCATATGTATTTTGAAACTACAATGAAAATAAGTTTTTTTTTGGTAAAGTTGATTTGCAAGACTCTTATTCCACCCTAGATCCGAGTTTGAATTTTATTAGTGTTATTTTCTTAGTGAAATGATGTAATCGTTTCAAAAAAAATTATCTGTATTTTTTTCTTATAGTGAAATGATGCCACCATTTGAAAAAATATATGGATCTGTCCCTGGTGTGAGGGGCACATTGTGCACTTAATGGAGCCTTGTTTAATGGGGGATGTATTTGTGCTTGATAACATGAAATTTGGACCAAGAATGTAGTTTACAAATTGGAGGGAGGAAAATGGAAAAGCAATCATAGAGGAAGGATAAAAATGTAATTAGGTGAGAGTGTATTTGTTTTGTTTCTCCGTATATTTGTTTACAAGTGTAGGACGAATGAAGGGGAAGACGGAGGTGGAATTGAAAAGTCCGAGTATGCAAAGGGAAAGGAGCCCACCTATTACTATTACTATTACAATTTCAATTTCAATTTCAATTTCAATTACAATTTCTAGAAGAAAAACCATGTGCGCCCGGTGACTCTCTCTCATCATGTACATATATATATATATATATGTACTCATCCAAAACCATGAGCGGTATTTTCTATCCGGTTTGCATGAAAACATTTGTGGATGCGGGAACACGACGCATTTTGCTCCTGCACCCAACCATATGTATACATACATACATACAAGTCGACTAAAAATTAAATTAATTAATGTAAATAAAAAAAAATTAAATAAAAACTTTCTTCTAATTAACCAACCAAGTCCTCCTCTCATCTCATGGTTAATTTCAGCTTATTTTTCAAATTAAAGATATGGTGTTATTTAATCTGTCTGTCTATGTCACTTTAAAACAACCCATTTCTTATTCTTAAATCCATTAAACAATTAATATTTGGACCTTGAGTTTGTTGTTAATAATACAAATATATAAGGCAAGCAACTATTAATTTTATGCCAAATGCATATGTACTAATGAAATGTTATGATCGTAAATGCCAAAAGTATTCTTAGACAACATAGTTATTGGCTTCAAAATATTTTAGTTTTTATCTATCATCATTTCCATTTAACCTAAATACTCTTAGTGTTGATTCAATGTTTGAGTAATTTTACTCGACTAAATTATAGATCAACCAAGACATAATTAAAGATTATTTAAGCCTCGATACCAGGACGTCTAACTGTAACACCCTAAAACTTTATGATTCGTAAAATAAATAAATGTTAAGGGTTAAATTTTAAAGAGTAAACGACATACGGGATAAAAGTGTCAATACTCGAAAAATATGATTTTATTGCAATAAATAAAATCAATATAAAAAGGAAATGAAACATTTTGTATTTAATTGATTTGGTATGAAAATGCAGAAAGAAAAACAAAAGGGACTAGTTCTACCAAAAGTAGAAAACTAATTTGGAAATGATTGAAATTTGGGAAATCATTCCCCAAATTCACGTTTTTCCTATTCTAGAGACCATTTGACGATCTATAAATTGGAGTTTTTCGGCTGAAACTTTGTGGAGACGTTCCTAAGGGTGTAAGGGGGTAAACGTCTTTGGAATTTCGAGATTTCATCAAGAAACGAGAGAGATATCGAGTTTGAAGCGGCATAGGGTCATTCCACACAAAAACGACGATTGAAGGTAAAATACTCAACCAAAATTGATGTATGATATATGGTTGGTTTCATTTTTTAATTATCTTTCTGTTGGTACAAGTCTCGTGGGCTATGGTGGCTTGTACGTCGAGCGGTTTAGGCTAGAAGCTGCTGTGGCGACGGCTCGACAAGATTCGGGTACAAAAACTCAAAATACGAGTTTAATATTGAACCATAGGGGCTGTAAATTTGGATACGATTTGGGATTAATATTGTATATAATTTTTTTTGTTAAAAAGAGATTTGAGGCTCGTTTATTTACTTGGAATAATCGAAATAAACCGGGATGTTTCGATTAAGTTGGTCAAGATTTAGACATCAATTGTAAAAGTTATTAATTAATTGGAGTTTCATATTTAAATTATAAGAAATAATTTAAGAACTTATTTCGGGAGTTGTGACTAGATAATTGTGGGATCGGACGTTTTTATAACGAGAATCGTATATAATTAAATGTTGGATTTAATACGTCGTAATTTATTTTGGATGTGAAAAGAATTCTAATGGGGAGGGGGTATATGGCGACGAGGTATGCTTGGGGTTGACCCGTTGACCATTCTTACCCCAAAGCTGACCTATTTGATTTTCGGGTTGACTTTTTGGGGAGATGTCAATACTCTAATTATTGAAATATAATTACATGTTATAGGATATTACTCAGGGACGAGGTTTAGCCAAACAGAGCCATTCAGGTGAGTGTTCATGAGACTTTAACTGGAATGTATGCTTATGTACAAATTATTTGAGCATTAAGATATTTTTTTATGTACATGTTTATAGGTTTATTACATGTATATGAATTATTATTGTGGGTTGCATGCTATTTGTTTACATGTTTTCTTTTAAAAACATCAATTAGCATGTTATAAAAGAATTTATATTTTTGTCGGGTATGGGAAGGGGTCAAAAGTCATAAGGGATGACACATCCTAGGGAGGGGTAACCGGACAAGGGATAGCCGTGTAACCCGGGGAAGTACCGATGACGGTAAGACCTTAACCCGACGGGAAATTAAGAGATCTCATTATTATTTCAAAAGGGTTTGAAACAAATGTGCATGTTATTTTATTTGGGGTATTGTTTGTTTTATGCATGATGAGGTGTGTATGATTGTGCACAAAAACCATGAACTCACCGAGCTTTATAAAGCTGACTATTAGTATGCATCTCAGGTGCAAGAGGTTCAAGGGTGGACAAGAACAAGGTTCTCTCCTAGATAATTATATTATTATATTTCAGATGTTTAGGTTTATGCTTAAACTCATTTTGTAATGTAACCCGATATGGGACGTGTTAGCGTTGAGCTATTAATTT